GGAATTCCTTCTGGGTATTTCAGGAGTGTCACTGCAGAGCTGAGATGAGTCAAAATTGTAAGAGACACTAAAATGAAGTAAACTCTCTGCCGTTTCCTTCCACCACAGCCTGACAGAGGGCTCTTTAGCACTTGGTTTTTGTGATATATATGTCATCTTTCAAGGACCTTTGACGCCTCTGCAGACTTGTCATCTTGTAATAGGAGCTCTCAGGAGAGGTTGCTGGAGTGGCTGGGGTAAATCCAACCAGGCTGGAGTGCAGACTCAACCTTACAACTCTGCTGCCTGCTGGGAAATCACATCTCATGCAGCAGCAGATATGGCTAACATGCTAAGTTGTGATGACACGCCAATGCCTGCAATAAATTCTTTAGCTGGCATGAAGCATGAAAATGCTAAAATCAACCTATAAAGTGAAAAAATGCTTAGATGCAATAAATATTGTTTGTATGATTATATAAAATAATATATATAAAAATAATATATATAAAAACCTATAAAGCAAATTCCTTCTTCCATTTTTTTGAACAGCAAAAAAAATAGTAAAATGTTGAACCTCAACAAGAATCATACTCTCTCTCCCCTTATACTACTGAGTTCTTTACCACCACTGGGCAGATTCTCAGCCTTTCAGTTGGCAAACATGAAAAGCAGTGGTGTCTAGGCCATGCTGCCTGTGAAGGGCAGGAAAGCTGAGAGATGCAGTGGGGAGTAAGAACTTGCTCCAGAAGAGCAATATCCCAAGAATGCATGGCTGCCATCAGCGTGCCATGCCCAAGCTGTCAAAATACAGTAAGTCATCCTGTGCCAGACCACAAGCTCACTCAGATCAAAACTCTGGCTCTTACCCCACTTGAGAAGAATCCAGGAAGTCTACAAGTAGAAAGATGAGTTCAAAACCAAGGTAAGTATATAGCAATACACCTTCAGAATAATTTCCTGGTGTTCAGTGATTTAAGACCTAAAACCTTCTCCAGTCAGAGGCGGTGCCTTTGGACTCACAATAGAGTTCTTGGTGCTTGTAGAAGGCAGAACAGTGCTCCTGGCAAAGAGAGAGTCTTTCTGCCTCTGTTTTGACAAAATGGCTCAAATCATGAGGAAAAGGTCCATTGGTGGCTCCTTAGTCTAGATGTGACTTTCCTAAACCTGCTAACTGCTAAGGGTGGCCAGATGTCTGTCCATGTGCACCACAGCTTGTATTCCCCCCAAGCATCCTGAAGCTGGACCATTGATGGGATTCCTAGTGAGGGTCTGTGTCCTTATGTGTAAGTTCTCAACGTGTACACAGGGTTTGACCCCTCACACTAACTCCCTCCTTCTTCCAAACCTTTCTCAGCTCCCAGTTCCCAGAATACTTGGATTTTTTCACTACTTGGATTTTTCTCCCTCCTAGTGGGAGGCTGAGAATTACTGGGACTCCTTATTGGCTCAGAGTTATCTCAGTCCCATACTTGCATTTCTGATAGCCAAGACACTTATTTTTAATGATGTATGCAGTGCTAAAGCTCCAAAGCAGCAGGTAACAGTACATTGTCACCTCTGATATGCACTGCTTTTGTATCAAAAGAGTTTTCTTTCCTTTTTCTCTTTCTTTCCTATACGGAGAGTTGAAGCATCAAAATGCAAAACAATTGCGAGTGACTATTAATTAGGAATTGACTCTCTTGAGGAAAATGCTCTTGTTAATTGACCTACTGCTTCACAAAAAATGTGAAAAACAGCAGCAGCGAAGACAACAGTGGAGACTAGAAAGGCCTTGATTCTCTATGGGCTTGTCACGGGTCTGGCAGCTCTATACCCCCTCTATGGTGGGAGTGCTCTACAGCCCGCAGCTTCATCACTACCAATCAAAACAACAAAGTGACATCATGAGGGCTTCTCCTACCCACGTTGACAGGACAGACTTGACTACTTAGTTAAAGCTGTTGTTATGCCGTACAGAGTAGCAAAAGATGTTAACATGACTGTACGTAATGCTGATATTATACACATTGTTCACTAGCTCCTCCCATTTTGATCCTGAAATTAAACTATAACAAAAATATCCCTTATATGGAATCCTAAACATTAGTTTGAGTTAAATTTATGTTTATATTATTTCTATTTCAGGCTTATTATATTTTTTGTTTATATTTAATTTTTTTAATTGCCTCCTTGTAATTGTTAGCATGTACACAAGACCTCAGTGAGACACTCACATTGTTTGCCCTATCCTAATTGAGATTCTAGTGATTCTTGTAGTATGTTTTTGCTACTGCATTAGAGACCTGTTTTTACTGTGTAACAGAAATGTAGTTTGGGGAATTGGCTAAGGAAGACAGTTCTATGTCTTAAATGCTGACCAGTTTAATTCTTTTCATTTGCTTGAAAAAATATAAAAAGTCACCTGCACGGCTCAATGATTACCATGGGTTATATATTATTACCAGTGGAGCAGCAGAGATAGCAAAGAGCCTGATAAAGCCACCAGAAGGAAGGGAGCTAATCTATCTTCTCCCTGAGCAGGAAAGGCAGCACTGTCCTGCTTGCCAAACATCAGCCAAAGCAGCAACCCGGGAGTATATTGCCCAAGCAAACAGCAACCATGCAAGCTCTAAATGGGCAGTTCGTTGTCAGACTACTTTTCTCTAAGTTTTGTTCTTTGTTGCCATGTTGAGTTCAAGGTAAATCTGTCATTGAGGTTTTATTTTGGGAGGAGTGAAAATAGGGATCTATTTTGTTCCCTTTTTCAAGTGATCCATTGTCTAGAAACATGCGTGCACTAAGAAGCAGCTGAACTGACAATTTGAATTCGCTGAGAGAAAACTCTGCTAAAATGAAAGCATCCTCCTTCATTCTGGGAAAGCAGCCTAAAGTACCTGGGCAGGAAAAGCAGTGCTCGCATCTCAGCTCATCTCAGCGTCAGAGTGAGCCTCTGACATTCAGTAAATCCTCCTAAATATACTACTCTCCCGGCAGTGAATAGTTTTATTATATTTGTCTTCTTCAGAGAAGGTCTACAATTCCAAATCTTTTTCTCTGGACCTGAACGTTCTAATTCTCCTATCCCTCTCCTCTTCAATGTGGAAAATTAGAGCTTTTATGCCATCAGCTTTGGAAATGAAACTTTGTGGATTTTTTGCTGATTTGTTTTCATATTGCTTCAGAAATAGTACATCTTCTGTGAACAGCCGTACATGACACTGAAGCACCTGGCACCAGATTTTATATACATACTTCTAACAGTATCCCATGGTGGGTAGCTAGAGCTCTCTCTTCAGTGGGGTATCATCCCTCACTAACCAGTAGCTTTGAGTAGCTGGGTTAGTATTAACATATTGATCAAACACCAGTATTATTAAATCGCTTTTTTCTCTCCTATGCATCAAATAGTGCAGCTGTTACGTGCCAAGGCAATGACAAGCTAATTGGGAGGACGCCAACATCGAGACATTTTCTCCTGTATAATTGTCAATAAATACAGACACCCGTATGTCTCATTACTGCAAATGATACGTTACTAGCCAGCTTTTCTGAGAAAATACAGCAAGAAAAGGTTCACTTCCTTTGTCTTCACTTACATTACACATTACCCACTATGTGAGGACTTGTACTGGGACAACTGGAATTCAGGAGACAACTCAAGAGGCAAAGCTTTGCTCAGGCTTCAGGGGGGCTTTCAGGCGCCAGGGTGAAATGAATAAATCTAGTCCTTTTCCTGGCTGTCATAGATTTCACATTTCATTAAGCAACTCAGCCATTTTTTACTGGTGTTAGACATGGGGGACATTACCTGCTCTAGGTGGCACTTCAGTTGAGTCATTTCCACCTCCCAGGCTGCCTTGTGCAGGGCATACTGCTGCTGAAGCCCCTGGCGCTCACGCTCCTCGTTCCGCAGCTCCGAGCGGAAGTCATCCAGCAAACCCTTCAGAGCATTCAAGAGCTTCCGATTTTCACTCGCCTGCCACAACAAAGCAAAAGAAACGTGTTCTGATTTTGCTGGGATAGAATCATGGAATCAATCTTCTCTTCAGAGAAGGTACATTTCTAAAGTAAGTTATATTTTAAAAAAGACTGCAGAATTCAATTCAGTGAGAACAAAGTTGATAAGACACTTTGGTTTTGTTTGCAGCCAGCCGTGGTATGCAGGTATCTAGAGCAGTCAAGGACTTTTCAACTTATTTTTTGCTAACGACCTAGATGTCCAAGAACCTGGAGGAAGTGTGGTCAGAGTGATTGACATCTAAATTGGCAAATGGGCATTCCATACCACATAACATCATGCTCACTATAAATTGGAAAGTTTATTGGAGATGTGCTGTCTTCTTCTCTCTCTCGCTCTCTCTTCCTTAATGGCTGATGTCCCTAGAGGGTCTCGCTCATCATTTTGCTCTTGAGGCCTACTCCTTCTCTCTTCTGGGATTGTGGTTTTGGGACTTTCCTGCTCTGGGATCACTGGCCAGGAATGGGTTGGACACTGGCCAAGGAGTGGTGAGCAGCCACACCGTATATCACTTGTCTATATATCATAGAATCATAGAATGGCTTTGGTTGGAAGAGATCTTAAAGATCACCTAGTTCCAACCCCCCTGCCATGGGCAGAGACACCTTCCACTACATCAGATTGCTCAAAGCCTTATCCAATCTGGCCTTGAACACTTCCAGGGATGGATACAGGCTAAACATAGACAAAATGCTGTCATTGGATGGCTTTAGCCTTCAGTTTCATTTTTAGGGGGAAAGATGCCTGCACATCCACTGCATGGAAGAGAAAGTGCCTTGACTAACTTTTGCATGAGAAAACTAAGACTATCAATGCCTTCTCTATCTCCGGGCTGTCCAGGGAAGTGGTTGAGTCATCATCCCTGGAGGTATTTAAAAGACATGCAGATGTGGCGCTTAGGGATATGGTTTAGTGGTGGACTTGGCAGTGTTAAGTTTACAGTTGGACTAGATGATCTTAGGGGTCTTTTCCAACCTAAATGATTCTATGACTCTTTGATTCTTTGATTCTACTTCTTGTTAGCTCTAGTCCTGAGGCACCCATGAAAGCCAAAGATACTAAAGCGACACTGAAAAAGGCGCTAATCTTTCTGGATTGAGGACAGCTGTAATAACTTATTTTTTAATACTGTAAACCAAAGCTAGAGTATCATTCCTGAGGTTTGCTGGGTAGCTGGATGTCTCATAGATACAGTCATTGCTCAGCACCAAACCTCAAATATTTGTAAACTACATAGAATCATAGAATCATAGAATCGTTAGGGCTGGAAGGGACCTTCAAAGGTCATCTAGTCCAACCCCCCTGCAAGGAACAGGGATATCTCCAACTAGATCAGGTTGCTCAGGGCCTCATCCAACCGGGCCTTGAACGTCTCCAGGGATGGAGCATCCACCACCTCTCTGGGCAACCTGTTCCAGTGTTCTACAACTCTCATGGTAAAAAACTTTTTCCTAATATCCAACCTGAATCTACCTCCCTCTATTTTAAAACCATTACCCCTTGTCCTATCACAACTGGCCCTCTTGAACAGCCTCTCCCCATCTTTCTTGTAGGCCCCCTTGAGCCGACATATAAAGAAAGAGATTACTTTTCAATGCTTTTGTATTATCAGATAAAAATACTTTGGAAAAATTGTGAGTTTTTGAGCTGTGTATCTCTGCTAAAATGTTTCACTATTCTGTACTTCACGTTTCTCCTCAGTCCCAGACAGTTGCACACAGGTTAGCTTCGCAGCAGCACCCTGTTTGGTACCAAAAGCATGAATGCCAGGTAGGCCAATTTCCCTCTTGCAGATAAGACCAAAGAGCAAAGTCCATCCACATCTTGTAGAGAATGTCATGGTCATACTGAAAATGTTGTCTGTGCTCTTGTGCTAGCCAGGAGCCAAGAATGGAGTTAAATTAAAAGTCTATCCCAGAGCTGACATCTGATCTTGTCAAGTATAGAAATACAGCATGTATACTTATTCAAATCTTATTCTTAGTTTTGGCATTTACTTTCTGCAATTTCCTTGGAGATTTGAAAAAAACTGTTATTTTGATGTTGAATATTGAAAAGCATTTTTTAAAGATTCATTCTTTGTCAGTAAAACAAAACATATCCCACTGTTTTTTTGCAGTCATTGAATTAGAAAACAGAAATGTGTAACATGATTTATATACCCCAAATTTAAATCAAATATTGCTAATGAACCTCTCAAAGACCAGGGAGTAGCCAGATACTCTATCTTACAAGTTATTCTGAATAGAAAAGACTTTTAAGAAAATTATACTTGATTAGCAAACACAGAGTGAGCAGAAAAGTGAGAAAGCTTACTCAACAAATTCAGCATTTAATCACTTGGTTACCATGAATGTGTTAGCTTCCTCAAGAAGGCCTAACTCAAATTAGCTGTCTCGATGCTTGCATGCTAGTCTAATTAATTTTATTTTGTATTTATTTTCCCAAGTGGAAGCTTCCCGCAATTCCTCTCATCTGGTGTTTCATGAAGTACCTACATGGGGACTTCTTTGTAGACAAGTCAAGTAAACAGATGTACACAAAAGTCTAAATAATTTTCATATGCTCTTTGCAGTGACAATACATATAAAATTTTCTGCAGAGAACTAAGCTGATTTCATATGTTCATCAGATTTTTGGCATCACTGAACCCACCTCACCCACTTTTATAAACACTCATCAGACTTCTTTCTTTAAAAAGTGCCTTTTTTCTTTAAAAAACAACAAATGTGGTCTACTTTTTCCAAGCCATTTGGTTGATCAGCAAAAATATGCTAGATGCAGGGAAATGACTGCAGGTGCTCATTGACTGACCTATAATCTGTTTGGACTAATGAAATGTGATGGTGTACAACATGAGGTTTTATAAGAAATGCACTCACAGAAGCAGAATTAATTCCATTAACATTTAATGCCAATTAGCAGTCTTACTATACAGCAGCAGTCTCCATCATGCATATAAGATCACCTACTTTTCAATATGTAATGAAATTTTGTGTTTCCACCATGAATTTTTGTTCTGATACCCAATTAAGGCTAAATTCTCCAAACATCTCAAGCCCCTTATGTAGTAATCAGAATAAGAGCTCTTTTGAAGATTTGTCCTTAGTGTCACAACAGGGGCTGCTGGGTACTGCGCGCATCAAAATCTGGCCTCATCCTCTTTGAAAACCCTGACCCCAAATGCTTATGAAGTGCTTTCATTCAGGAGCCATGTTCTGTGTTTTTTGGTACGTTGCATAAACCTTTCTCTGGCCAAGTAGTCTAAAGGCTCCAAGAGGAAAATGAGGCAGAAGGAAAATAAACCCAAATAACACTAAAGCAAGCTACATCCCTCATTCCCGCGCATATATTTGATAGCTTTAGAGTCCGGTAGAATTAGATTTGCAAAGACAGAAGTGATGGACTAGTACCAAGAGGAGTCAAAACAGCCTCAATGCCGGTTTGTAGCCTACTGGGATGAGGGCATGTCTTATTTCTAGAAGCATTACATCAATGTCACTGTTATGAGACAAGTACCCCAGGTGCCCCCGGGCTTGCTGGGATTTTAATTAACTTGCCAATATAAATCCAGTTTTGGTTACATACTTCTGATTCCTGCAGAGAAGTCTCTTTTGCATGACTTTGTATTTACAGTCTGAAGTTGGAGAGGCCTGTGAGATTATTTTTGTGTTGCCAAACTGAAGTATTCTTGGAGAACAGGCGAAGTACTTCTGAGACAATGTGTTCCGAAATACAACATCTATGATTCTATGATTTATATCAAGACATGCTTCAGATTTCTGCTGGTAAAATTGCCAGACAGCTTCTGCATAAGTCCCACAGATACATAACAAGGATTGTTACTGTCTTCCTCTTCCTCCAAGGGATGTTGTACAGGCAGAAGAAATGGGGCATGGCTGTGACTCCCTGGCCAGTCTCCCATGCAAGGAGCTGGCTCTTTAGTACCTTACCAGTTACCAAAATTTAAAGCATGGAGGAATCTGACTGATTCACAACTGATTTAAGACAAGAGAATTACAAAAACAGTTTAAAGTCTTGTTGCATCCACGGCTCAGGACTTGTAGGTAAAGGGAACAACAGCTGACAATAAGTAAAAACTTAACATAGTAAACCTCAATTAAATTCCAGGACTTTGCAGTATGTACTACGTAGAGTCGATCCCAAAGATGGGAGCCTCCGGCTCTAGAAAAGTTTGGGATCAGCACAGTTTTTGAAGCTTGGTTCTGTTTTTAATCACAATTCTTTTTTTCTCTGAGAATTTCACTTAAGAATTTAGCCATGGCCTGGTATTGCAAGCACTTTAGTAGAACAGTCAATTAAAACCACAAGGTCAGGAATCTAAACATCAAACAAGAACCGTGCGTTTTCTGTGTGTAGTCACAGATCCAGGCAAAAGTGTAGCTGGATCTTGGTGCTAATTATTTTAGTATACTTAGGTCTCAATTACTATTCCTTTAGGCTTTTCTCTTAGCTAAGCTTTGAAAACAAATATTGTATAAGCAAAGAAAAGATCTAATTAGGGATTTTCTTGATCCCCCTCCAGCAGCAACATGAGTGTATTGTTTTTTAATTCTTTTTCCATTGGACCACAGATGTGTAAACTCCTTTCTTCTTACTCCTCTGATCTTACATCATCCTAGAAGCATCTCACTCTGCTCAACTGAACCAAAGCTCTTTCTTTTCCATGGGCTATTCTCCCCGATTTCTTGCTACACACATAGAAACAATGACTTACAGCAAGCCCTCCTTTACTGTGCCACCAGCCCGACTTGCTTGCTTATCTCCTGCCCATGACCAGACTTCCCACTTGGTTCATGAGCCTTGCCAGTTCCTCGCCCTACCCTTTTTGCAATGTGCCCCAGCTACCAGCCAAGGGACACCGCCATGAAGAGAGGGATGAATTGGCCCTTCTCAGAGTCCCCATCTACTCTGCCTCTCATCAGCTAACCTTTTTTCTTCCCTTTCCCCTTTGCTATGCCTTCATCCATCCCTCCATACACTGGCCACATAAAAATCCCAGACAAGTAAGACGTGTACTTTCCACCGGGTCGAGTACCTCAAATCATAATACTATAAAATTAGAGAGTGTTTGTTGAAATTAAGGCCTCAGGGTTTAACATTTTTCTCAAAACAATTCCACTTTCCAGGCAGGGTGAGAAAGTCAGCAGCAAAGAGTGCAGGCTGAACATACAAGCCATTAAATATTAACCTTAGATGTTAAAAATAAATATGGGTTACTTCAAGTTACTGTAAGCTCTTTATTTTTTCTGACCTAGTTATCTCAGCCACTCCTAGACTATTGCAAAATTTCCTTCCTAATGTGAAACAAGTGCTGATGCATTTCATCTTGGAGCTTGCCAGGCAGAACCAGCAACTTAGGGCTCTACTGGGCAAATGCAGACCAGGAGCTTCACCACTCACCCCAAATTCCCTATATAAACAGTGCTTGCTTCCAGCTGAGAGCTTAAGGAAACTGCAGAAGACCCCCAAAACCCTGGCTGTTTTTCAGTGCAGCCTGCCTAGTCAGTGGTATACTGGGAGGTGAGCACTGCCGAGATTTACCCCTTCAGGAAGGACGTGCTCTTGGTCTGCTGATATTCTCAGAGCTTCTAAAGCTGGGACAACACAGGCAAAGTGGTTTCTTGATTTAGTTTTGTTTAGTTAATATGTTTTTGGGATCATAGACAAATCAAGTGGAGCTGATGTTTATGGGTGAAAGTCTGCAATGTGTGTAAAGTAAGGACCAGAATCTGTGAGGTTGGTGAGCATGGCAAAGGTCCTGCACACAGCAGGTTTGCAGGGCCAAGCTATCCATCCACCATAGCGAGATGGACAATTCAGGCCAACTGATACTAAGGGATGTGAGGGTAGAACTTGGCTCTGGCAGATTCTTGAGGGTGCAGGAGGGTGCAAGCAGATCCTCCTCTGTCACAGTCCTCCAGAAGACACTTCTGATGCCCTGAATCTATGACAGCATGAGAATTAATCTACACTAAGGCTTCTCTGTGCCAGAGAATAATCATAATACTTCCTTGCCATTAACAAATACAAGGCCCATAGCGCTGAAAACCCTTTTTACATGCCTGTTAATAAACACAATGCTTGTTACAAGATTCACTAGTGTAAACAGGCACAAGAAGTCATAATGCTTAAAATGAGAAACCTTTAGCAAACTCACTCACTTTTGCAGTGTTGAGAAAACACTTTTTTCCTGGTTGGAAGACAAGAAACTTATTTCACCTTTACAAGTCCATTTGGATATCATGCAATATTCAATATCAAGAGAGGTACTGAGGCATGGTCTGTTCCTATGGGTCATTTCTTTAAGCAAGGTTTGCTGGAACTGCTGCATTAGAACATCATGCAACGTATATAAAAATGAATTCTAAGCAATCCTGCTTCCCATTTCTGCCACCTTAATTGAGATTAATGCCTAAGCAATGATTATTTAGAAGAGGACATGATTTATTTGAATGTTCTTGGTCATTTTAAGAGATCTATATAGATCTATTTAAAAGATCTATATAGAAAGTTAATACATGACAGAGTTTGTACTGTGATAGCATGTTGGTTTATATTTATTTTACTCAGTTTAGATTAAATCAGTCTACAGATGGAATGCATTTAAACGACGTGCTCAGGAGCATCTCTTCCATGGTCTTCTTCAGCCTCTGCCAGAGAAGAGTTCGCTGAAAGGATGACAGTGATGGGTCTGGGTGACTGGTAAGGTATATCGTTGAAATCAGCAATGTCTGACCTCCCACAAGATCAGTAACACTAGAACGTTTCCAAATGCCAAACTGATCAAATGAATACTACTGTGGTAGAACACATTGTAGAAAATAATAGCTAGAGAATGGAGTTGTCAGCTAGCAGTAAGAAAAAGGAAAGCAAAAGAGTATACAAACTTAAAGCGGGCTCCCAAGACAAGGGCCCGAACAGAGATGGAGCATAAGGCATAAAGCTTCAAGACCTTTTTCACTGAATTTGTGTTTTACACAGAATTTTTGCTCCATTCTACTTATGGTTGCAAATAATTCCATGTAACAGGATGCTCTCATCTGAACGTTTTCCATTTTAAAAATATAAGAAGACACTCCTGAAGAACCATTGGAAGCCTTAAGTCTGTCCCCTTTGAATGTTTGCTATTATTATTGTTAGGACTGATGGTATATTAAATGTACGAAGGAAAAAGCTAGGATATATGGCAGTGCTCTGACCACACAGGCAGAGTACAGGATATGTCAGGGAAAAGTCAGCATGATTTGCTTTTAGGCATTTGAAAACAAGCCCAGTGACAGGAAGGAACTTTTGCATTGTTTTCCTATCATCTCTAAGAGAAACATTAAATACATGTGCTAATTTCTTGAATTATTTAAAGGAAATAAAATAATCTCTTCTTGCTAAAAGCTTGACAGTAGAGTACAATAGATGTGCTCAGGGAAGAGATGCATGTAAATTCAGCAAACCATCACATACTGATAGATGTTTCTGGGCAAACAGCCACAAGAGGAAATAGGATTTTTCACTGATAACATCTGCCAACAGGAGAACAGTAATCACGTGGCTCCTGATTAAATATAAATATAATGGATGAAATCCACTGTAATTGCTGTGTAGCCAGAAGTATTTTTACAAGTATGAATCTATGTGATTTAACACAGCAACAGAAGAAAATGAACTCCCTTGGAAAATCCACGGTTCCATTCCCAGGGCAAGATATACAACTTGTATAGTACCTGCTTCTGCTGCTGCAGTAATTCTGCAGTCTGCAGCTGTGGTCCATGATCAGTGCTTTCCATGGTGGGACGCTGGGAGAAATCTGTCAGTGCAAACACAACATCCTCTTCCTCCTCCTCTCGCTCTGCATCATCTGCCTTCTGCTCAGACTGAATGCCAAAGTCTGGGAGGGCCTCAGGGTGCTCAATCTAAAATGAAAGAGATGGGACACATCAACGTTCTTTTGCCATTTGCCTCAGGGGGCAGAAATCTATTGAAGGGCTAAGGGAAGGGACTGTCTTCTCCTGCATCTCTGTGGTGCGATATATTGACTTCTATTCTGTAGGCTTCAGGAAATGATCTTTGAGCGATATATGACGTTGTATATGAGAACAAAACACTACACAGGCCTGCAAAATAGGAGATCTATGCAGCTGAGAAGATGGGTGTACAACTGTAATGCAGCATGATGGATATAATCCATCAGGTATTAAAGAAAAACTGTAGAAGATACTGTTGTATTGTCTGCTGAAGATACACAGATCAGGAAGTATCCAAATCTAGCACTTTATTCCTCTCTACAGTGTTAGCAAAACACGTGACTCCAATAATGACTAGAGGTAGACTGATTGTAAATTAACCAGGCAAAATATCCAAATAGTGAAAAAATGAAAGCTATTTTGATATTAAAAGATGAGGCAGTTTACATAGAAGCAAATTAGTACTGCTAAAGTAAAGTAGAAGCAAATTATTTCTAAATAGCTACTTATGTCTTGCTTCTGACTCATATTACCACAGCAGATGAAGGTAAAGATGTTCATCCACCCTTTATCTAAGAATATAAACCATTAGAGTATTCAACTTAAGCATACTCCTACCAGACCTGAAAGGTTACTTGTACTTCCAAATGCAGCAAACACTGAAAAACACCAGGCACATAAGTATCGGAAATACTGAGAAAAATTACTTAGTTGCCTTAGCAAATGGTTTCAGAATTGCATGAACCTGCAAAATAAATCTATTATTCTCAAGAATTTTGGATAAAATGTCAGAATGGGCAAACACACTTTTCTACTTATTTTTTCTTTAGGTAAGATTTCCAAGGCAAATGGTAATTCTGGATGTGCAACTCAATTTAGCAGCACCTTTCTTCACAGTGCATGTCGACTAGCAGTCACACCCCTGCTGAGATGTGTCAGCTTGGGGATTCCAGGTTGTTATGTACTTCTGAAATTCCTGATCTTAATTTAGTTGCTACTTGGAAAATCACCACGGCGACTACTGGCGTACTGCTGCTGACGGTGATAGACGTGTGTATGGAGAGGAACAAACAAGAATGATTCACTGTAAGTTCCCACAAGAAGCTGTATAATTCTCCTGCCAACACGAAAACAGAGCTTCCCTCCATCTGTATTGCTGAAGGCTTTGTAAGGAACACACTGTGCACACGATGTGAAAAACGACAGCTTTCAGCCCATCTAAATAGATTTGACTCTGTCAGCTCACTAACGTATTTCTCTTTCCAAAAATTACTCAGGAGTCATATCTTTGAGACCTAATTAAATTTTCATTTACCATGAGAGAATTTTTCAGGACCAGATGTTTGTACTAGCTAAGGGTTTACATTTAAAGATGGGTGATCTGTAAAACATCATGCAGAATATACGTTAGCACAAGCCAAGTTAAAAAAAAAAAAGGTTCATGTTTAATTTGAATCCCCTTTAAATCTATGTGTAATTATAAAGTTTCTTATGCCATATCATGCTTACAGTCTACACTTCAAGAAGGGACACTCCATTGCACTGGGTTAATAAGGTGGGACAGTTACCTCTAATACGTCCTCCCCTTCCTCTTCCATTCGCTTGCCTTGCCGCCAATGTTTCAGCAGCCGCTTCAGTTTGACATACAGGAGAAAGGTGTCCTGCTTGAAATGCCTGAGTTCTTGCTGCAGCAGACTTTTCTCCTGGCTCCAGGTCTTCTCTTCCAGTTTGTTCTGCAAAGTCAAGCTCTGCACTTCCAAGTCTTTCCTCCGCAGGGTCTGCATATGCTCCTCCTCCAGCTTTAATGGAACGACAGACACCATGTCAACGGGTTGATGGCCTGGAGTGGTCTCCAGGACTTTTACTTTGCTGGGTGAGACAAACTGAAATCTCTAATTTTCATCACTAGTGAGCAGCTGTTCAGTTTGGCTTAATAAGTTCCTCAGCAGTTATGACTGTTGAGGAAATTAGAGAACAGCAGCCGATCAGCTTAGATAACCATATTCAAGTAATCTGCTGTGGAAGTGGACAGTTCATTTACTTTCAAGATGCACGAGACCTTTGCTGCTGCTTAAACCTTTTATACCACTCATATTTTCCTTTCTCGCTTGATTATATCCCTGCAGTAGGTTACCAGCACAGCGATCACCCCACACTGGTATGCTGCGTGTATCGCACCTGCTAAATACATTTGCAATCATTCCTACAAGGTGGGACCACAGCTGCCCTTCAGACAACCTGGAATATTATCCTTGCCTCTTCCCTCCCCAGTCACAGACTCATCCTTTCCTCTCTGCCTATGTCTCCCTCTCCTTCTGGAAGGGCAACACGTCCCAAGGAACCACATCCAGTACCTCAGATACAACTACTGGTCCCTCACTTCTCACGGTTCATACTTGGAGGTGTCTGAACGACTCACAGTACACAGCTTCTCTTTCTGATATGACCAGATCAGGCACATATGCAGCAAATGAAGAGACAGCAATAGGCTGCAACTCAGCATTCACCATGTCTCTCAGTCTCAGGACTAGAAGTACCAAAAAAAAGCACATTCTTTGGAACATACATATAATTACATCTGTTTCAACACAAGGCCACCTGAAACATTATTCTCTAAATGTGACTTCTCCCTCAACATGTCAAAATCAAACCATGGCATGACCCGTGCCCAACAAGTTAGTTGTACAGCATCTCATGTTCTATGTGGATGAGATTGTGTTCCCACTTCAACCAAGCTGCAGTTCACATTGATCAAGAAAAGGCTGATGGAAAATGAGTACAGAGCCACTGCTTACAGGTATCAGTTTCTGCTATTTTCCATTCTGCAGAACAACAGCATCTCTCTTTGCTGACCAGCTCCATAGACGAAATCTATGAAAGCCACAGTACACTAATGACCACAACGATTTAAAGCATGAGAACATACCCTGCAACAAACAACATTCACACAAGAATGAAGAATACTTCAGAGATTCTTCTTCAGGAGCATAGAGTCCCTAGCAATTAATACTGCTAAGAAATACGTGCTTGATTTTCACGGCAACATTCAGGTGCCTCTGACAAAGGCTACTGGTCCATATGAGATGGTTTACCAAGGACTTTCCTGCCCTTTAAGTGATGTGCTGTGGCAAATTTTCAGCAGCTATGCTACTATGCCTTAGAAAGTTCCTGATTAAATTATTTAGAGTAGTTGCTAGCTTAAGTGAGTTTAAAATGCAGCTTAAAAGTGGTCTGAAACAAAATTGGCTATAATGGCGCAAAAAACATACATGCAACTGTAGTTCTCATGGAGATCGTATACTGCTATCACGAATCAATTTGATATCATTAAACATTGCCAAAAATGAAATAGTGAAAAAGAGGTTTCTTTCAATTTTTATTTTTACAGGAAGAAACAAATAGATTTTGTGTTGGTGCAGGTTCTTCCACCAAATTAAATTTATGGTTAAAAATGGCAAAGATCTGAGTCATTTCCACCAGAAATCCTGGAAGATGATAAAAAAAGGAACAATATCAACAGGATGGGCATAATCTGGAAAAAATGAAGAATCCAGAAGATGCTTTTATTCTTCTATTTCTACTGGCTGTCAACATGAATAGCTAGCTTTGATTTTGTGCATTTTTCATTGTTTTTACAAGCTGTTATGATCTAAGTCCCCATGGTCACAAATTCTTGCAGAAGACCCTGGTGGAGGTAGCTTCATAGAGTATTAGCTTTTCCAAAGGATAGTTATTGCAAAAGAAAAGAACTTTAACAGGTAGGCATAGCTCCCAAAAAGCTTTCATGGCCAAGGCAACTAGGAAGGAAAACAATTTACTGGTTGCCTTCAAAAGACTCCATGAGAAAGCTCCTATGCAGATCAACTGGAAATTAAAGCTACTTACGAAAAAACAGAGAGATACTACTTGGGCATAAGGAGATTAGCTGGCACAAGGAAAAATGCTTTACACTATGCAACAATTATGCTGAATTCAGTCTAGGAAATACACTTAAAAAGAAAACTTCAGTTAAGAGCCAAACAGCCTGCCAAAATTAGCAACAGATTTTTTTCGCTCTAGGAGCTAGAGATCATAAAACGATTGACTAATATATTCCAGCCTTCAAAAGAGCAGGGGAGCCCATGTAACAAAATATGATTTATTCACTAGTTATGAATAAGAGGGTTGGAAGCATGGGGTACCAAGAAATACAACAAAGTCCTGATTTGTGTCTCAGTTATGAGCATTGAACAGCTTCTCCGACTTCAGAGAAGTGTTGAGTTTTCTTTGGGCTAGGAGGGGTCAGAATAAGGCACAGAGCCAAACTGCGTTCCCAGAGATCAAACGCATCCTCCCCTAGCTCACGGAGAGATGAAGGGGCTGATATAATTCCCCATGCAATATTTCACATCTCTACCTTGACTTCCCCCACACAGGGAAGGACAAACCTTCTCTCCACCAAGCAGAGAAGCCAGATTCAAAGTTGCAAAATAGGCTTGAGTTTACAGTTCCCCAACTTCTTCATTTACTCAGATAAGCTCAAACAGGCACAGTCGTGAGGACACAAGTGTCAGGACATGGTCTTCACAAAGAAGGTCCACACCACACATTATGGTCACGCGTCTCTCCCAGCAGGCGAGTTTCGTATTTACCTGGATGATCCTTTCTGTAAACTTTTCTTGCTCCTCTTGGTGAAGTCTTGTCTCCTGCTCAAGCTGAGCCTGAAGCTCCTGTATCGATACATTCTGTACAGGTAAAACATGGGAATCCCTGAGCTGATCAGCAGGACAAAGGGATAGGTTTAGCAGAAAACTTGTCTCCGTGGTGTAAAAAAAAAGAAAAAAAGAAAAGTACTGCAGGACAGACATCTGCACAATTCACGGTTATCAATAGTTAAAACTAAAGCACAGCGTGCAAATAAACAGCAATGCCCTAAATACGTGTGGGAATTTCCGGTGTGGCTTCTTCTGAGGACTAAAGCTGGGATGCTGATGTTATATGTTGGATATTCTCTTCGGGCCTCTGCTCTGGAATTGCACTTGAGTAGCTGAAACAGTGCACCATCAATGACGTTTGCCAGATTAGCTCCTATTTAGGGTATTCCATATTTGGTGGTGCATTTTTCTATGTTAATCGATGCTATAAAATTTTAACATCTCCGCAGAAGATGCATCTAATGCACACATATTGAACTTAATTATTTATTCATTTGCAGCACTTCTGATTAGGCAGTTAATGGTATAGCATTTATTAAACCAACCAAGCATATACGATCCCTTTCCTCAGACACAGGACAGCTCTTTGCACAAGTCGACTTCATTCTGTGGTTTCTAGTCAAAGTAATTACTCCACAAATGTCACGGTGATAAGCTGTGTGAGCCTGAGATCTGACCAAAATGCTTAAGTATTTCTCCTTTCAGGTCTAAAACTATTATAATCTTAGTACTTTCAATTTTGTGTTCTTATTAAGTTTGGCATCCCATCCACTTTCCTTCTGAAAGTTACTTAATTTAAAAATAAAGAGCCAAGAAGGCAGAGTCACAGACCTCATTATTTACACTGTTAATTAACCTTATGGCACTTAGATTCCTGATCAGAACTTTTTATGCCCTCCATTTTGCTTCTCTCACATTGGAACTAAAACTGATTTATCTGTATAAAGGTGATGCTTGGCCAGACACCACCCTCTTCACATGTGCAACCACAGAAAACACTATGACACCAAACTCCTACTTCCCAGAGCAAAGACACATTTAAAGAAGGGATCGCTTCAGGCTTCAAAGCATATCCCAAATTCTCTGCTGGCCAACGTCCAGTGCACTCCAACCTCAGCAGCTGTGAGGATGTACCGCAGGTCGTGGGACTGCTCTTGGGAGCTGCGTTGACAACTCCCCTTTGGTGTCAGCCCCGGCTCCCATCTCCTCTCCCCAGGCACTCCTCCTGCTTCCCGACAGCAAAACCAGCTGCTGCTGCTGTTCAGGCTGTGGCAGCCCTTGCCAGGATGCTTTTGGTTATTCAGAAAGTATTTGTCACTGGAACAGACACTCCTTCCCCCTCTAGGGAAAAAGGAGATAAGGCAGATGAAAGTATCCTATAAACCACCCACAGGACCATACTCCGCTGAACAACAAAAGTCACCCTACATTTACTTTCTGGGCCCTATCAGTTCCTTCTTTACTCGATTCACTTACTGACTTGTGCATGTCTGTTTTGTACCTGAGGCAGAGACACTTGCAGCCCTCTCAAAGGTACACATAAAGTGACCAAGAGCACATTATATACCTTATCAATTTCGTCTTATGCCTTAACGTGTCTGCAGACATTTCGTATTGCACAAGGCCAAAACTCAGTCTCACAAATAATTTGGAAAGAACTGCTTGCAATGGGATTTGCCAGTTTTGCACGATAGTTTGTAAATCATGAGATGGTTATGCGCAGGCATATCAGTTTAGATTTCTCTAAAGGAAAAGTTACTTTCAACAGAAATCTCTGCATTCTTTTATTCTGATCCAGCTTCTTCAGGAAAATGGTAAATAAGAACCAATGTACCTAGTTAATTCGGGTGTACTTTAAAAATATTGCTTCTTTTTATGAATTCAAAATCACACAAAGTCGATTTGGTGAAAACAGATAAAACATGACAACGCTCTTCTGTTGGCAATAATCACTTGAAAAAATCTTGTGTGCCTCTAGATATTGAAACAGTATGATTCCTGTAACAATGCATACATTGTTAATTTAAAATATGTAGAAAGGATAACTGATCTTACTATGACTCTCCTTACAGCCATACAATTACACATTTAGATAGTTAGAAATA